AAAGAGTCTGGCCCCGTCCTCCTGACACCCACCCTGCAGATATTTGTAAGCATTTCTAAGGTCCCCTCTCAGCCTTCTCTTCTCCAGGCTGAACAAGCCCAGCTCCCTCAGCCTCTCTCTGTAGGAGAGATACAGTCACACCACCTCCAAGCTGCGTGTGTAACACCAAAGTTGCTTTAAACTTCTGTAACCAACGGAGAGAGTCAGTCCTTATGTATGTAACTATGAGCACCACGAACAGGCCTTCTGCTCTGAATCACCTCTTCAAAAGAATTTTCCTCCCCACCCCACCTCTGTCAACACTAATGGGAGTCTACAAGAGGTTGGTCTCTCACTGATGCACCTGATGCACTGACCCACGAAGCTAGGCCATGTGAATACCCTTCTTCATCTAAAAAAGAAAAAAAAAAAAAAACTAAAAAAAAAAAAAAAAAAAAAAAACCAAAACAAGCCCCACTCCCAAACCCCCCCACCCCCAGCCTGCCACACCAGAAACCAACCCCAGGCCCTCGGCTTGGGATTTTAGCCTGGAAGGCTCCATTGTAATAAATGAAATTTTAAAAGCCCGGCGTGGTCCCTGTGTGTTTGGGAGGAAGCAGCTGGACACGGGGCACCCTTGTGCCCTGCTTGGGCAGACACCAGCACCCCCCCCAGCGCTCCCGGGATGGACAGGGACAGCGGAGAAGCGTTACAGCCATCAAAAAAAACCCCTTGTACGAGGAGAGGCGGCTTTCCCGTCGGCCTCACCGTGCGTCCCACCTGCCTGCGTCCTTGTAGCTGCGCAGACACCGGCAGGAGAAGGCAGCGTGGCCCCGAGGCTTTGCGGGGCTGCCAGGCAGGGCAGGAGGGACCCAAACCTCCGCTCTCCCTCCCCAGCTGGGAAGGGGGAAGCTCCTTTGAGCCCAGCCCTGGCAGAAAGGCTGCTGCTGGAGCAAGCACGTAGGGATGCTCCCGCTCCTGTGCCCGGCCGGCCTCCGCAGAGCCCTCCGAGTCACTCCTTTCGCCTGCTCAGCCTCGGCCACGGATGCAGGAGCAAGGCTGCAGCTCCAGCCAGCTCACACTCGGTGTGTTCACCCTTCCCAGCACCAACGAGCAGGTAGGACGAGTTTCTTTCCCTTTCGAATCCGGGCGCTTGATGCCGTTTCCGAGTCCTGTTTGCCTTCCCCAGGCCAGGACCCAAGCTCCTGCGTCCCAGCACTAAATCCTGCATGTGCCTGGCTCTGCAGGAGCTCCCTGCCCAGGTCTGCATGCTCGGGGGGCACACGGGGCTGCCCGGGATGGGACCTGGGCCACGAAGCCTCCCACCACGTCACCGAGAGCTCCTGCTTCTAGTTCTTGCCCCAGACCTGCGCTGTTGATAAAACCCGACTGCGGCGCGAAGGCTGGCGGGCAGCTCGAGGGGGCTTTCTGGGGCGAGCAGAGCCCCTTTCTCACCGAGCACTGCATGGATTCACAACGCAGCTATTGCAACACACAGAGCCCTGGCTCGGTGCAGCCGGAGCAGGGAAAACCACAGCGCCCGGCAGCAGCAGCAGCTCCATCCCGGGGGTCACAGCACCGCCGGGCCCCAGGCC